TAGCGAGAGTAAGTTTATGCTACAGTAATGCACTTTATCTGTCCCTTGTCTCTTTTCCTTACTTTTGACTGTTTCCCCTCCCCTACCACCCAGTTCAGGGAGTGCCCCCTCCCCTCCAAGTTGAGGGAGTGGTCCCTCCCCCACCTAGTTCAGGGAATGCCCCTCCCCTCCCAGTTCAGGGAGTGCCCCCTCCCCTACCACCCCCTCGCCGCCCAGTCCTCCACCCAGTTCCACGGGGAGCGGGTGGAGGGAGTGGTGGCAATGCAAGAGGTAACCTTATTGCATTTAGACATATATATATTATACCCCTGTAGAGTAAGGTATAATAATTATTATGGTGTGTTGATTCACTGCAGGCACAAGAGGTAAATCCTATTAAGAAAATGATTTTAAGCACTTCTATTCCTATTGAAGCGAGATCAAGATCCCCAGTGGGTAAAGAGTGCTTTAGCTCCAAAAATGTTACGACGTGGAGGACGAGGACGAGGAGGAGGAGGAGGAGGAGAGGAGGAGGAGAGGAGGAGGAAAGAAGGACGAGGAGGAGGACAAGGACGAGGACGAGGACGAGGACAGATTAACCTGACTTTTAAGGAACTGCTATACACATTGGTTATTTATACCCATGAGTGATGACCAACCCGCGCATGCGTATATAGGTAATTGCGCGAGGCTAGCGCGCTCATGACGTATATACCTGTTGGCCAATATTTGCCGCATACATTATTATAGCAGTTGCGTGCATTCAGCTATGTCTTTCCAGTCCACAGTTCTCTTCTGTAAGCACTATAAAGGTGAAACGCTGTTTTCACTGCTATCCTCGGTACTTCAACATTCTGGAGCAGAAACGATTGCAGAAGACCTCTGGACTGCTTGGCCGTGAACAAGATCCTGCGCGTGTGCCCCTCCCTCCAGTCAGCGCAAGGAGTGAAAGATCTTGCCAGTTCTGTATGTTCTTGTATGATGGAGACGGGGGGGGGTATGAGAAGAGTTATAGTACCGATCTAAGTCTGTGTGCAGTAAAAAAAGGAAAGGAGACAAGTAATTAAAAAATTCTGCAAATAGTTACAATGGGATGATGGTTACATCTTCAAACTGACATTGCTTGGTTGTGTAAATCTTCCTCCACACAAGCCCTATATTGTCGCCACTTTCCTGAATAATTATGAATTTGTTTAGTGTGAGGACAATGGTGAGGCTGAGACACATAGATCCACTCGTGCATAAGAAACGAGTCATAGCTGCACACCATACAATAGAGATCACTCGTGCTAGCAAGAGATTATAATGACAGTGCATTTAGCCGGCACTCTTTAGTCGAGTCCTCTCTCTCAAGAATATTAAGACCAGTCTGTAAAGGGATTCTCTGGCGAGCCATGAACACAGCATTGTAAAACTCATCGGAAGTTCATTAGACTGCACACAATGCAGTCACAACCAAAAACTGAGGAGCTGTCAGAGAGGGCAACACCTGTGCATCACGTGCTTAAGAGGTGAATCATTTTATGAGGGGGCTCACTCATGCTTGGCGACAATATATATAGGGCTTGTGTGGAGGAAGATTTACACGAGCAAGCAATGTAGGTATCATTTCCACAGACAGGCACCTGCCCCCCTCCACACCGGAGGGAAACAACACAGCATCATACAGTCTCTCTAATGGTGCTATAATATAGCTTGAGGAAACACGTCATTCATAATACACTCTCTCTAATGAGAGATGAAACACATCGTAACACATACACATAGTCTCACTAATGACTAGTTTGAGCTAAGGAAGGTCCTACTGTCAACATTGTGTCTGGGGAACTGCAGAGTATCGCTGCTGGTTAGGGTGTCTGGGAGGTAAGACATTGCTCATAGGATGGTACAGTTACTGATAGCTATTCTCCATACAGATGAAGGATATAAAGTGAAAGACTCACAGTGCGTCGTTAGGAGAGGTACAGCCACAGAGTCTGAGCGTGACGCTCTCGTCAGCTCTATTCACTGTCCAGTCCAGTGTCAGGTGTTCGTGAAGTTGCTCACATGCAGTTTTCAAAAACAGTGGCACCTCCTCCTCCTCCAGTCTGGGTAATGGTGTGGTATATTATTTGTCTGTATAGTAGCCCAAGAGCAGAATGAGGTAGCACTGGTATAATAAATCCCCCAGTGGAACCCCCCTAATCTGGACACAAGTGTCCACGTTAGTTGCGGTGTCCTTTTGCACACAAGAACTGTTCTTTGGGAATTAAGGTGTCCAGATTAGAGAGGTGCCCTCATTTCAGGGCCGTGTCCTTAGAGAGGGGCTCCTTTTGGTGTCTGTAAGTACGCATATCTACTCACACAAATGACATGTATGGCTGTATGACTCACTAGAGTGCAGAGTGTTATCTCCGTTTCCAGCAGCTTCAATGTGTGTGTGTGTTTGTGTGGGTGATCGAGGAGAAAGAGAGGGAAAGGGGGAGAAAGGAAAGTGACCAAACACAAACACAACAAGACCAGAGACTGGGAGACTTTTGTCAACTTCACTACACGCGGCAGCTCAGTGGTCAAAATTACATGTAAAGGGGGAAGTGGGCTTTTACTCTAGCGTCCTGGGTGATGTATGGGTGATGATGTATGGGTGATGGGCTCTAGTGATAAAAATGGTGTGTGTGTGTGTGTTGGGTGGGTGTATATAGTATGTAAAACACGAAGGAGGGATGAACCAATGACAAGGAGACATGCACCCACACTACTCTATTATACATGGTAACTTACGATGACTTTTCCTGCTCTGTCATATGCACAGTACTAGAGTCGGTTTGTGTAACACTGGATCACAAGTAATCCTTGCTCTACATGATGCCCAATTCAGCGATGACTTTTCCTTCTCAGCTAAGTTGACTTGTAACTGGTAATGAATGCATGATCTACACGGTGCATGGATAATGCATAAAGACCTTTCCTCTTCAGTTACTGCGTAGTGTGTAAAACGTAGCTACCGCTTGCTAACGAAAACCTCAAACGTATATACTCTCCACACGATGCACACTTAATCTCTAAGACTTTATTTCGTGATAACTTTTCCTGCTCTGTATAATCTACGATCCGTGTGTAGATAACAATGCAAAACCGCAAATGCACATTCCGCGTGATACCTATAAGGCTTTTACTTCTGAGTTACATTATACTCATGATGTGTTTGGGACCAACACATGCCCTAGATACCACTGTCTGTTACTCGGGTAGTTATGCTGTATTGCATAAGCACCCGCCGGAAGTACACAATGCTCTATGGATGATGGGTTTTTCTGCTCCATTGTTTCTCTTACTTGTCATGCATGAACATACCAATCATGTAGGGTTAGCTACCCACATTATTGGGTCCCAGGTACACCATTGAGGTGAGTTGTGAGGAGTGCCCGGTGACGGTGGGGAAGGTGACAAGAGTGAGGCTGTGCTTCCGGAACATTCTCGCTCGCTCCCTGTCTCGCCTCCTGTTCCTGGTACAGGCCCAGGGGCTGTGTCCTCAGAAAGAGCTTGCCTACAGGTTAGTGACAACAGACCACAGACAAGGGTCAACAACTGTTCAGGGTCAACCACCGTACACTTTCACAACCCATAGCACTCTAACAGAGATGCAATAACTACAAGCCATTACCCGTAGTTTATAACTGGTTTTTTTTCACTTTCCACATTAGCACCTACCACTGTTTCCCTCTTTGTATATACATGTACACTGAAGTTGAAATCCTAAGTGTCTTGCGCAATGAATTCGGCCATTACAATGGTTTTGGGTTTTACTCTAACCTCTAGTACTGTTCCCATTATAATGTAATGTGTATTGAACTACCAATAGCTGTTCCTTCTGTTCTTTCTTAGTAAACCCTGAAGAACAATCTAGAAAACCTAAGTTCCCCCACATTGCTTTCTCAGTCCCTTCTCCTCTTCCATCTTTTCTGCCCATCTCATTTTATCTTAATTCTTTCTTTCCTCATCTTTCCTCTCCATCTTGCCCCTCCTCCTCGTCCCCATGTATATAGACGAATAGTTCTACCAGGTGGTGTGGCTAAAGTGGAGTTTCCAGTAAGAGCCGAGTCTCCAGGAACCTACTACATCCTAGCCAGTCTTCACTGTGACCAGCTCACTGATGTAGCTGGACTTCTTGTTAACAGAAAATTATAGCTGTTTCGAGTGCGATTCGATTATATAATAATTAGTGTGGGGTAAAATTAGCTCTAAAAGGCTTTCAGAATAATTCATTATTATCTGCGAGACAAACGAGCCTTCCTAGCCATCGGAATGAGTGATTTGTATCCTTGTCTTCTTACCATAATGACAAATACAGATGCATGGATAAATATCTTTTCTCCCACATTCGCTTTGCAAGCAATCATTTTCACTTGTGTACTGGTCAGGGTGTATAGACATGGTATAGAAAGCAAAGACAGAGATGACTAGTGCATTTATCCAGTGGTAGCTAGCTTAAGGCAAACAGGAATATTTCTGGGGGAATGGTCAGCTAAAATATTAAATACCTCTAGGCCAATGTTATCGGCCAATACACAAACATTCAGAACATAAATGTACAGCCTATTTGGTGTGGCATCTTGGGAAATTGCATCGATTATTGCAAAATATTGCCCTAATCCTGTGGGGGAGTAGGGTGAACTCTTCCTGGGTGGAAAAAGCATAATACACTCTTTTCAGTATCTGAACACAACACTTGGGAAGTGTAAGGGAGAGGGAACTCTGCCGAGAGTTGCATTATTTTTGAAATGTACGTGCTTTTCTCTCAACCTGCCTGCGAAACAAGCATAGCTATACAACTGAGCTAGCTAGCTATCACCAGAGCAGTGTCCCTGCGTTCTGCAAAATGACGCGGAGGTGACCAACAGCACTAATCTCCAACGCAAGCCACCTTCTCAACTCTGCAGCGCGCGCAGCCAACCAGCCCCTCCCCCACGATTGTGGGCATTGCGATACACGCATGCGCGTCGCTCCATATAAAAGTCGCTCGGCGCGAGCTAGCTCAGTATAAACTTAGACTCAGAAAAAGGATGGTGAGCGTAGAAGAACGCGGGGTCCTGTATGAGCCGAACTGGTTGACAGGGGACCCGGGCGGCTATGAAGAAACGACCGAAGTCCCGCTAAGCGCCGTCTCGGAGACGACCGGGGAAGAGGAGGTGGCGGAGCCTCTGCAACAGAGCGACCTCCTGCGACCTATCCTCATGGACATCGCCAGGCACGGACTCAGCCACGCGTACGAGAAATACCGCAATCGGGGCCATCCGATCTGCAGCGGTGGAGGCGAATGCAAGCAGACGCAGAATCCCAAGAACATCATCGTCGTAGGTGCGGGGATGGCGGGGATGGTGGCCGCGTACGAGCTCATACGAGTCGGCCACAACGTGACGATACTAGAGGCCCAAGACAGAGCCGGAGGCCGAGTACGCACCTACGACCACAAGGACGGCTTCAAGAAGGGACTTCACGTGGACGGTTAGTTATTAGCTATTGCTAAAAGCTCCTAAAGGTTAGGCTTCACTCGGGTAATGTAAGCGCTGGTTTCTTCACCGGTTTCGGGGCAATGCATGTGACAATTAGTTCAGCTTTACACATATGTAGATGCATCAGTTCAGCATCAACCGCGATAATATAGTTCATACCTACCAACCTGCAGATGAACCTTTGCTTGGGAAATGTGTCAAATTTGCTTGATTTGGAGTGTATTTGCTGAAAATGCGGTGTGTCCATTCAAAATGTATAGGCATGGTGCAACACAGGTATTCACAAAAAAGGGGGATTTGGCAATTATCTGGTGGGATAGGCAGTATTTTTGCTTGATTATCAAGCAAAAAGCTGGATGGTTGGTAGGTATGATAGTTATGCGCTCAGTTTCTCCATCCAGTGAATCTATGAAGCCCTATCCCAACTCCCCTAATAAGCCCACTACAAAGTGCATGAAGAATGACTTTAATTATCTTACCTTGGGTCCCATTGCAGAGATTGCCTGCAATGATGCACCAGAATTGTGTAAAATCAATTATTTCAAGCAAATCCACTTTGTAGGGATTTCATGTCACAAAAACAATAATAAAATTAATGGTAAATATGTTCAGTCGATCTAGGTTTGCTAGCTTCACCAATCGAACTTCTCTTAACGGACTGTAAAATTGCATGTATATACAATGATGGCGATATATTTTTTTGCGCTCTCAGTCATGGCATGTAATCAGTGTCAAAAATAGTACGCTCGCACGGTCGATGTTGAGGTCGGTCTACTTATCTAAGAGGTCGGTCGAATTTACTAAGCGGTCGCTGGGAGGTCGGTCCACTTTACTAGGAGGTCGGCTTACCTTTCTAAGAGTGACGGGCGGGCCCCTCCCGCGAGAAAGAACTTACGGCGGATGAGCGCGGAGACCTAGGACTGACGGCAAGTGGTGACTGCGCCAACCACCACCACCGCTGCTCCTGTTCTTACTCCATATTGGTGGCCTTGTTCTCGCTCCTAGTAAAATGTGGACCGACCTCCAAGTAAAGTAGACCGACCTGTTAGTAAAGTAGACCGACCTCTACATCGACCGCGCGAGCGTACTATTTTTGACATTGATTACACGCCATACCTCAGTATTGCGGACACTTCTGGAGTCTGTTAAACGAACGTGTCACATAATTATTATAACACTGTTAAAAGTACTATTGTAATGTGGCCCCTGTGCGCAATCCTTATATTATAGAGACATTTGGAAGGTAAAGTTAGCAAAGCTTTAATTGGCTTCACATGCTACCTAGCAGTTACCCCACTCGGAGTGGGTACATTCCATGCTAGGGTTGGAGGTTCAGATTTATCTAGCTAGGTGTAACGATATTTTTATGACTATTGTACTGCTAGTGAACAATCTCCCCTCCCTTCCCCCTCTCCATCCTTGCCCTCCCTCTCTCCTCTGCAGCTGGGGCCATGAGACTGCCGAACCGACCTGGAGATAAATACAAGGTCCACTTCCTCACTGACTACTACACTGAGGAGCTTTTCAAACTGGAAGTGGTCGACTTTGTCAACAGCAACGACAACACGTTCCTCAAGTTCTACAACTATCCCCTCACACAGAAAAAGGGTAAGTTTGGCAGCTAACACTCTCTCTCCATCTCTCTCTCTAGTTTGGGTCAGTGTCAAATTTCTTATTGTTCATATTCAGATTGGGATGATGCAACGTTCTCTAAGCTGTGGCCAGGGTGGGATCGCACCATTCGACTGACCGGAGCCAAGTCCAAGTACAACATCACCAACATTGGTAGGTAGCTAAATTAGTCACAAAGGGCTTTAAGAAAATGGTATGTCAAGAATGCTTTGAAAATCAATAGCTAATGAGGTTCATTTTGGGCTAAGACACCTACTCGCAGGTGTCTTAGCGATAACTCCCCTGCCGGGCTACCGTCGAAAAGTTGAGGCGCCGCCGCTAATAGTCAGTATATACTTACCAGCATTGACGCAATCGATCGTGAATTGCGCCCGGTATCGGCTTGGGAGAACTCTCCTCCCCGGTGCTTTCTTCAAAGAGCTGCTACCAACCAAGGTTGAAAGCGGACGAGCTACAGCCAACCGTACGGCTATCCATTTTCTTAACAAGTAAGACGGCAGATTCGAGTGCCTTCGTGGTTCTAAAGCCCGCGTGGGAGGTTGGAATGACGCAATAGAAACCTCGGCTCCGCCTCGGTTACTATTGCGCATTCCAACCTCCCACGCGGGCTTTAGAACCACGAAGACACTCGAATCTGCTGTCTTACCTATACGTAGAAAAATGAATTGTCCGAGTTATGTACAACTCGATGTTTCTTGCAACTCTTATATATGTGGTAGTGATGGTTTCCGGTCTTGTTTTCATGACAGGCTCTTTGTATACAAGTGAAAATATCATTTCTTAAAATGAAGGGGAAAATAGGGATGGCTTGAAGCACCAAAAAGGAAGAAACATGGGGTCATTAATGCACAAAGCTACTTGACACCATCCCTATGTCTTTGTCTCATATAAACGTGTCATTCAGGGGTGTGAACCTGCAAAATCTCTGGTGGCAAAAACATGGCGCCAGGGGCAGCCTTGGCGCAACACCTAATTGCTTCAGTTCAAAGTTCAGCTAACAGTGTCATTCCACGTTCCCGCGTATTGGGCAGAGATGCGTAGGCAAGCTTTGGCGCGCTAGGCCGGCGCTTTTTCTTTGTCTGGCGCTGATTTTAGCACCATAGCGCCAGATTGACACCCCTGGTCATGTAGCTTTGTGCATCTTTGCTCTGTAATGACCCCTTGTTTCTTCCTTTTTTGTGCTTCAAGCCATCCCTATATCCCTCTTTCATTATGAAGAAATGATTTTTCCACTTGTTTCCACTATTTGTAACGGCTTATGACAACACTGCATTTTCAGTCACTCCGATGTTCATGGGTATGTTGCATGTAGAGAGAACTGATGAAAGCAGTAGCTAATGGACTGCTCGTACCTGAAGCAAGGTGTATGCATAGTGTCTCCAACAAGGACGCAATTAGGTTGTAGCACATGGTGGTGGTTTCATAGGCAGGCTTCAGTAATCAGACTACAATGATAGCTATAACCTGGGGGACAAAGAATGAAGGCTCATTTGTACGCCTGGCGCGGACTGCCAAGTTGCTACTCTTGCAAATCAACAGCAAAACGCAAGCTAGCCAGTTAAAAATGTGTATACTGACTTACAGAAGGCACTGGAGGATGAGAGTTCCTCTGCAGGCATCCTGGCTTAGTCTCGTAGACCTGTTTTACGAGCGAGACTAATAATGCGCGCGTACCCCGTTGGAAATGCCCTCCTCGGCACATGCAGCTCACAGATGCTGAGTTAGCAGCAAATGGCGTTGTTCAGTGACTACCGAGGAAGAGCTCAACGATCTACAGTAGTGACTTGCGACGATCGCTTGATATCCGTGCACACCTCCGGAAAATTGGGAGACAGCGAATTCTCTCGTGGGGAACTGAGGGCATGTAGGAAGTCTTGGGGCATGTGTATAGCTAGATATGGGCCTGTAGACTGTTCTATACTAGTGATTTTGAAGCCATGGTGAGTCATTCTCGCCGAGTTTTGAGGTGTTTTGTACACGGATCATGTGAGCAGACTCCGAGCGCCACCAGATCAGTCATTAGGCAGCTTTGGCCAAGGTTTTGGTTCTCTCTGTTCAGCGGAGGCACATCACAGTGGTTAGAAGCGGCGTCTCAGAGCTGCCAAAGAAGCAGACATCTTGTTCAATCGCCATTGTCTGCATTTTGGGACTACAGCTTATCGTGGGTGCAACTAAGCGGCCTACAAGCAATATAAACGAGCTACCAGTGCGTGATTAATATAAAAGGTGATTTTCCCGAAATTGACTACGTTCACAGGATACGTATGGTGATTGATTCAGTTTTGAGAAAAGCTTCCCCTGTCCAAGCTTTGCAAATAGGTCCTTGACCTTAGGTATCTGAAGTGGCATCGTAGCTGTCTGACTCATAGGCAGGGCAACAACCCAACACCAGAAGGGATCTTTAGAGTAGGTCTGGAGGTGGACCTTAGATGGCCACAACCTTCTAAAGGTGCTTTCAGACATTAAGAAACTGAAGCACCTGTCTCTACCTCCATGCTAACATCACATTCATTCACCCTCACCTTTACCTCTATTGATGCGGGTGTAAGCGGGCTTTGAAGTCGTGAGATGTTGAGATTTCAACTCCTGTTCCTCAGATTTCGACTCCTGTTCCTCTTTTCCGAGTTGTCGATTTGTTCCTAAGCTGCTTCACACTCTGTGCAGCAGTCTCCATGTTCGTAGCAGTCACTACTGCCTTCGTGTAGTCGAGTCCCGGCTCAGACAGAAGTCCCTTCTGAATTGCGTCGTCGTTGGTTATATGATTGCGGAGCGTCACCTCGAGAGTATCTCCGAAATTGTAGAATTCAGCCAGAGATCGCAGTTCCACGATGAATATCTCTACTGACTCTCCTGGTTTGCAGCTCCGACTATGAAACTTGAACCACTCAACGATCTCGGATGGCGCAGGCTTGGTTAGTGCAGCAACTAGCACGTCGTAGGTCTTTTCGCCAGGTTTCTCGGGAGATACGAGATTCCGCAGGGACTTGTGGTACTGGCGCAAACAGTGGACAACAGAACAGCCCGCTTCTTCTCCGCAGCGTCGATGGCATCCACAACGAAAAAATGCCGCTCGACATACTGCGGCCAGTCCTCGTTGCTGTTGTTAAACACCTCGACACGGCCGAGTATACCCATCACATCCTTGGATCTTATGTACTCAATTATACAAAAGTAGTAATGGAAATGACGTCACACCAGAGCAGTCTTACATAAATTTATGCAATACACTACACGTGTGTCTCGCTATATAGGTCTTTCCTCAATAATTCAATAATTACTGCTCAGAGTATCAGTAATTGTGCAATGAAAACTGTGTGGGGAGGGTAAATTACATCATGAGGTGGGCCAAGGGCTGCCTGGCTTCCTCCACTACTGTTTGAACAGCTGCCTTCAACAAAATGCTTTCTAAATCTCTAGTCAATCTCTTGTAAACTGAGCTAGCACTGTCAAAATTTAACTTTGAAACTACCCTGTGCGGTATCTGTGTATTATTTGAGCGCATGCACACACGTTTGATTGATAGGCGTGGCCAAATGACCCAATGTTTGTAGCTGGATTTCTAGCTCTTGTGGTCAGTGTAGTTGATTCCAAGAATAGTGATGCCAGTTTGATTGTTTAGCCGCCTTTCAAACTTACTCAGGCACTTATAATATCTCGAGATATGGCGATTTTAGTGCGGACAACGACGACGACGGACATACAGACAGAACACGTAACCCTTTGTGTGCATGCCACCACTGGGCAAAAGTGCTGCATGTCACATATACTTGCCAACAATTCCAAGGACATATATACGTATGAGGCAGTTGCAATGTGTACTTACAAATCTCAAGCCACGGGACGGGGTATGGCAAAGTCAACAAGCTTGCTGAACATGTACATCCCAGTTACCCCGCTGACGAGGGGAGAATGGAGAAAGGAGGAAGGAAGGGTTCCATTCTCAGAGGTATTGAATCTAAGCCCACTGCTTCTAGACATTAGTCTTGTACCCTGCATAGGTTGCTTTAAAGGTCATGGTCACGTGCCCAGACCCCACCCACTAAGGGAGAAACGGTCGATTTCTTGGGCTTCTGGGTTGAAAAAAAGGCATAAGAATCAGATTTCAAGGATAGCGTGCATGATACGAACGTGTACAAGTCTAGTGATGCAAACTAAGTCTTGTTATTAGCTAATTGGAATAAAGCCAAAAGCTGTCTGTGGCTCTCTGACGAGCCAGGATTCATAATTATGCTGGTCTCTTTCTTGTTTCTCTTCAATGGATCCTTGTTTTCCGAGGTCTATTTCGAGGCGTGTTGTAGCATAAGTAACACTATTATGATGGAGTATTGCTGCTTCCTATATTTAGTTTTGCTGAAGCGTCATAACTTATGAGCAACCAGGCTTTTCTGGTTATTACTCTTAGTGATTTTCACGGCGTGTGCTCTATCAATGTAAGAACATTAATTTGCAAAAATATTATGACTTTATCTCTGCCAAACGAAAGTCTCCTCCGCTGCGTATGGACGGCAAAACGGCTCACCTCATGCTAATTAAACAAAGTTCACTTCTAATTGCTTCAATCATTCTCTTTCCTAATTATACGCAAAGCCCAAGAATTCACTTGAAACCGACTAGACCCCAGCCGACTCAAGTTGGCTAGCAAATTGCACACACATAATGTTGATCTGCAAAGAGCTTGACGAAATAGTTGCTTCAACATCAGGCTATAAGGTTCAAGTGTAATGGTAAAGAGCCCTTTGCATTTACATTTGGAACTAGGAATACAAGGACAATGATTCAACTTGCTTAAAACTAAGAGATTTGCTTTTGCCAAGTTATAAGTCAATCGATTGGTGTTTGACATGCAGTGTTTGGAGTTACCCCCTGGCAGAGTTACCTTGTCTACATTGCAGTGCTTGCGGTGGAGATATTAAGTGGATGCGAAGCCAGTAGTAGTAGGGGGAGGTCTAAGAAGGTCTAAGATACTGTCATCAGCAGTCCCTGGATGGTCTATGAGGCTAACAAGTCACCCTGGGGTAACTACCGCAGCTAACCTTATTAACCTTCGGCGTGCATCCACAGCAAGGGTTATGGTAGTTGGTTTGTTTGTCCCTCATTCGGTCTGTCTGTCTGTTACCACGTTTTCTGTGACTACGTGCAAGAAATGGGCAAAAGAGTGATACTAATGGGTTCATTGCTACACAGGCTTGATTTTAAGATTTTCATTAGAGCGTAAATCGACACTCTATATAGGGATAGCATGGGTCAAATCTCACGTGATCTGCATACAAAACGCCTCAAAACTAGGTCGATATGCCCTCAAAAATCACTAGCAAAGGTCTACATGCCCATGCTATACATATGCCCCAAGACTTTATACAGTTCTCCATTCGAGAATTCACTCACACGTGAATGTACGACTTACGTGTCAGCATCATCATCATTATTCTTCTTCTTCAAACCCGTTATCTCCTTACCGGAACCAGTTGAAGCACTTATTTCTTCACTAGACGTCTCAAGGTTCCATTAGAGGTATGCACGGCCATCAAACGATCATTTCTTTCTTCTCGCATGTTCCTATGGTTGATCTTTGAGCTCTTCCATGGCGTACTCTGAACCACGCCATTTCCTGGTAACTCAGCAGCACGTGCCTAGCGTGCAGAGGGGGGCGTTGTCCTTTATGCATGTGCAGGCAATGCCGCGCATGAGGGCGCTCCATACGGGGGGTTGGTGCGGCAGCATAGCTAACATGCCTTTTGTGCTCAGCAGCCCATTTGTTGTGTTTCACTTTCCCTGTCTACCCAACTTCATCTCACTACAAAAGCTAGCTTCTTATGTGCATGGTGCTTGCATTGTCAGGCAGTTTCATCATCATCCCATGTACATCTCAGTGATAATAATAAGTAAATGCTGCGTAATCATCATTAAAAAAATGAAAACGAGTGGAAAAATCATTTCTTCAAAGATGAAGAGGGTGTAGGGATGGCTCAAAACATGACATACACAACGCTACATGGCACTCTCCCTATATCTTTGCTCTATTTTAACCCTTAGCAAGCCAAGGACATATAAACGTGTACAGAGCCTCCATAAACCCATGGGGCTATAATACTAGGCGTTAATATGTTATACATCAATTTATGCTTAGTTAAGGCATCCAAAGTGTTTAATTGATAGTCAAACAATCAGACAAAGATATAAGGATGGTGCCATGTACCGTTGTGTCTCAGCTGTGTTATGACCCCTTGTTCTTTCCTTTTTCATGTTTTGAGCCATCCCTATATCCCTCTTCCTCTGCCAGTATACAACAGTGATATAAGAGTAACTGCACGGACTCTCAGCATCAGCTCAACGCCTAAACTGTGCAAACTGAATTGGTAGCAAATGGTGTCGTTCAGAGCCTCTACCATGAAGAGCTCCATTATCAACCATATTGTGTGGGAAAATGACATCTATGCTTATTATGTCGGCTCAGAAGGCATTCATTAACCCTCAGCATGCATGTGCAGCAAGGCTTGCAGTACTTGCGTTAGTGTGTTGGTCTGCCGTGTGTTATATACTGCCTAAGAGGTGGCCTATAAGCGATACCGTTCTTCTGATGTTAAGTGATTTCCTGAAATGACTGCATTCAAGAAAATGAAAAGCACTAAAGTGAAAACCCTCGGCGAACTGGGCATGCGCGGTGCTGCTAATTGATGGGCTGGGCTGCTATTAGTATGCGTTTACTCGTGGTCTCCCGCTAGTAGCTCGCAGAGAGTCTGACACGGGCTAGCTACATAGCACCATGCGAGAGTCGATACACGTCCTTCGTTGTGACTTCTTGTGCCTTCAAGATACACAGAGCAAGCGGACCCATAAGCGCATGCGCATTTTCCGCAGCGATAAAAATGGCCGACTACGCATTAGCCATACAATGGTGGAAGCGCTCCGGCTTTGCAACGGAGCGTTTTCAGAGAAAACCGTTCGAAATTCTGACCTTCATTGCCCGTTAAGTAGGTCGTATCCTTTTTGAGACGAACAAACACTCGAGAAGTGAGATGTAGAGTAAAGACAGACAGACGACCCAATTACCGTAACCCTTGCTGCGCATGCGTGCCGAGGGTTAACTAGCCAAAAAGCCGAAGTGGCTAATCAGCACTGGCTCAACCAGGTGTGGCCTGTTTAGTGCACTATGGAGGGATGAAGCTGCTCAAAGGATGGTCCAGCATAACTCCAAATGCTACCCACTGGTGCTGCAGGAGTAACTGGTTCCGTGGATGGTTTGGATGCATGGCCCCAGCCCGACCCATCAATTAGCGGCACTTTATGCCATGTGTATTGTTGAGATCAACAGTAGCAGAACTTGCAAGTACATTTTGTGTGAAGGGTTTGTTCATATATTCAACTATAGGTTCAAACTTAAGGTGAAGGTTATGTACCTTCCTCCTATTATTGTGGAGATCGCCCACACAGTTACTTAACCTTAAATCGCATCTTGCAGCCTTTTTTCAAACAAAAGCCAACCTGTATAAGTTGTTTACTTCTTGTAAAGTAACATCAGATGTTGCTGTGCATAGCAATGAAGATCAACGAGCAAGCAGGTGTAGCTGTAGCAAGCGGTCATTTCCCTCTACGGTGTTGGCTCTCCAGGTTTCGCAGTTAGCACAGAAAAGACAGTAAAACAAAATTAATAGCTAGCGTGTATTGTTCAGTATAGAAACTTGTGCTGTCGTCTTGAGACCCATATGGCACCACACAGCGCCTCTTGCTGTAAGAGTCTCTCAAGCACACAACTTCGTTTCCGTACATCATAACTCTATACAAAATTTGTGTATTACCTAGTGCATCTTACAGCTGTGCTATGTGCCACTCCCTACAGATACCTACTATGAGCTCACCACCAATGTCGTCATAGACCAGCTCCGTATCCTCCTGGCTGGAGTCGTCAGTCCAGCAACGCGCTCCGCCATCTGGGGTAAGTGGGTGGAGACCTGGTCCCACTTCCCACTGGACGGGTTCCTCCACTCCACCAAGGAAGCCGTACTTGAACGAATCCCGGCCGACTATCGTATCGGCCTTGACAAGCTCGGCGAACTCCTGCCTTGGCCCGAGGCAGCCGTCACTGCCTACGAGGTGTTCTCCTACACTCCTGCAATGGACACCAGTCTGGTCGAGTTTCTCCGCGAGACTATGGGCCACTGGTGGACGCCTCACATGCACACCATCAAGGGCGGGATGTCGGGGCTCCCCGAGGCTTTCAAGAAAGAGTTGAAGAAACACATCAAGTTTGGGTTCACGGTGACCGAGATCGAGTATGAGTCGCCGTCGGACGACCTCCACAGGAAAGTCACGGTGAAGGGGTTCAAGGAGAGGAAGAGTGACGGGAAAGTTGTGCAAAAGAGCATCGAGGGGCACGCTGTCATCGTTACTACTCCGATCAACATCCTGAGACAGATCAAGTTCACCCCAGCAACTTCCGAATCCAAGGACAAAGATACGCCATTGATGCCGATGAAGTTCTACAAGGCCATCGAGGACATCTGGTACGGGCCGTCGTCCAAGATAATGCTCCAGTGCAAGACGAGGTTCTGGGAGACAGAGTACCAGATCCAGGGTGGGTTCACCAAGACCAATCTCCCCGTGGGCCAGATCCACTACCCCAGCAACCCCGGGTTCGACACCATTCCTAAAAGAATAAAGGAGGGAATTCTTCTCGTGTACACCTGGAAGTCTGAGGCCCTCTTGTTTGGTGCTCTGACCCCCGAACTGGCCGTGGCTGAAGCCGTCGATCAAATTGCGGAGATCCACCCCCAAATCAGGGAGCAGTTTGAGTTTGGTGCAATCAAGGCCTGGTACAACGACCCTGCCGAGCAGGGAGCCTATGCCCTCCTGAAACCACGGCAGGTGCAGCACGTCATGTGGCTCATGTACCCGTGGAGGAACATCTACTTCGCGGGAGAAGCCATCTCGTTTGCCAATGGATGGATCCAGGGGGCCTTGGAGTCTGGGCTGAGAGCTGCCTACCAGTTCTATGCTCGAACGAGAGCTCTGCCGGACAGTAAGTCGCTATGCCAAATGGAACAGATTAGAGACTTGGATAGCAGAAAATGAAACAGAAAGTAGTATGTATTAGTGCCTTAGGTGCCTTGTGCTGTGCAGAGTAGTTTGTTGCTCATTATAAGTAGTGAATGATAGGATGAAATGCACTTTACACCGCCTCGGTCTATAACAATGTTTGTCCATCAGTGAACCCACAAAACAGACCTTCCTCATATATAGTGACTACCAGAGTTACAGGAGATGCAGAAAG